GATCGGGTATGGTTACAACGATCGGATACGGTAAATTGTTACTGACAATATGTACGTCAATATCGTACACCATGCCTTAGGCGATGACAGACCCAAGTCACATATGAATGGCACATTGGCAAATGTTGCGTGCTATTTATAAAATAAAAAATATTTATAACAAACATGATTTGAAATCGCTAAAGTACACTTGTAAGAAGTTCCGAGTTCTAATTTTTTCCGTGGACAAACAATGCAAAGCCTTATTTTACGGCTTTGCATTGTTTGTCCACGCAAAAAGTGAGAACTCGGAACTTTTATTGAATGCACTTAAGCGATTTCAAGTGCTGTTTGCAATAAATATCTTTTTATTTATAAATGGCACGCAAGAATTGTCAGTGTGGCGTTTGTCGCTAACTCGTGCCTGTCTGCTTGCCTGTGGTGAGACAAGGAGAGATTATCTGTCTCCGTCTAACTCACGCGCTTTCTTACGTGAGTAGGCCTTATTTCACGGTTCATTTTACGGCTTTGCATTGTTTATCCACGCAAAAAGTAAGAACTCGGAACTTTTATTGAATGCACTTAAGCAATTTCAAGTGCTTTTTGCAATAAATATCTTTTTATTTATAAATGGCACGCAAGAATTGTCAGTGTGGCGTTTGTCGCTAACTCGTGCCTGTCTGCTTGCCTGTGTAAAACAAAAAAAGATTGTCCGTCTTTGTTTGACTCACGCCACACGCGACATATAGTACAGAAAGAAACCTATTACCGACATATGACGTGCAGCGCCATTATACGGCAAAACAATGAACTCAATGGAGTGAGAAAATGACATATACTGCAGTATAATACTGCTCTTGACAGCCAAATTTTTTCTTGCGAAATGTGGTTATATTATTTACTCTAGTGGACTTTTGTGACATTAGACATATTGTAGGAACCTGTAAAATATTCCGAATTCTCGGCTTTTCGTGATATACAATACGTGGAAGCATAATTTACACTCGTTTGATCAGCTGTTTGACCACACGTTTTCTCGCGTAGACAGGCCTCATTTCACTGCTTATTTTATGACTTTGTATGAATTGCCCAAGGAAAAGGTGAGAACTCGGAACTTTTTACAAGTATGTTGAAGTGATTTCGAGTGCTGTTTGTCAAGAATATCTTTTTACTTAGATATGGCACGCAAGAATTCTTGACGTGCCGTTTCTCGCTTCTGACGTCATAAAATCAATATGGCCGCGGCGAGGGGCCAGGAGCCTTAATTTCATTCCTTTAACTCTCCAGTATGGTATCAATCCGTATACTCTTACGCCTCTGTCTGATTGCTGATATTTCTAAAAGCGTGCTTATATTTGTAAACATACTTCATCGCCTAGACTTTTACTTCATCGCCTAGACTGCTTACTGTACAAAAGATAAATGAGTTGATTAGATTCGACGAATAATTGCGCCTTGCAATTGAGTTCTTTTTAAAAAATGATTTTGAATAAACTGAAAAAAAAAATTCTATATAATCAAACATGTACAATTTTTATTCGACAATTTGAAAAATAGAAAAATTGTATTTTTATAGGTTTAGAAATTAAATTAGTATGAGATATATAAATACAATAAAACTAACTCGCGCGCTGCAGGTTTTAATATGTTCTTTCAAATTTTGATAAGATTTTGGTACTTGCATTAACGACGTAATAACACGCGATCATAAATTTCAAAAGATATAGTCCAACATCTGATGTGATTACGCCATCAGAATTTCGTAAATTATTATTCTGTATTTCTGACTTAGAATTCATATTTATACAAAATAAGCTTTTATCATTTCTTCTGAATAGTCTAGCATCTTCTTTGCAATCTTCTTTCGAATGTGCTGAATTTAAATTCCTTGTGCTCGTAGCTCGTACATGGGCTAAGTATAAATTCGGAACAGTGTTCACACGTTCTCGTTTCGAAAGTTATGGCTTCATACCGTATTATCATCTCATGCAGTCATGATTCTGAGCTATACCATATACACGCACGCGCGCGCACAATACGTCCCGCGCACGTTCACACACATGTCCACGCACAGACAACACATATATAAACAACGCACAAATACACACGTCATATACATACATATAATTCCACATACATACATATAATTCTTTTAACGACAAACCAAAGTCGTCGTTCAGTTAATTATTATAAAATTGATTCTACTAGCTCGTTAGCCAAGTACGTATGAGTACGGTTAATGTATCCTCCTTAAAATTCATTTTAGAATCGCCGAATACTCATATCTCACCAACATCAAGTCGGATGAGTCGTCGTTTTGTACAGTAAATGAGTAAATGATTGAATTAATGCTAATTCTCGATACTCAAAGGTAATAATATTAATAATATTATTAATAATATTATTACTTATATTGTCAGTATCATTTATGTATAATTCTTTAACAAATATTATGTATGACAGTGGAGAGAAAGACACAGAGAGGGAAAAATAACGCAAATTAAGACTATATATTTTATAGTATACATTACACTAAACATGTAAAATATGATCTTTTTATACATTTGATATTTTTAGTTGAAGCTAATTAAAATTATTCATATCGTTACGTGTTATAAATTAGTTATAGATTTAACACGAGCGAATCTTATTTAATTATTAAATTGTATTCTTACAAGGAAACAAACACAAATGTCCCTCTTCTGATTTTGGTGAGCTTGAAATGTCATAATTTAGATTAAATTAAGAGACTTGTTTATTTTTATACATGTTTATACAGTTTCTCCGAAAAAAAAAGTTTATATATAGATTTTGTCCGTATATGGTCATGTATGATTATATATAATTATATTTATTCATATTGAAAAGAATGTTGTTGTAAAAATGCAATTATACACCTACATAGCACAAAATGTCACAGTGACATCGCAATAGACACATAATAGAGTCACAATGGGGAGCGTCCCGATTGACCACAGTACGATTGGACACAACTAACCGATGAAAAGAATTATCTAGTGAATTACTAGGTCGAACCAATCATTACAATCTGTGTCCAATCGTATCGTGGTCAATCGGGTCCCACCCGTCACAATGTCACAGAAAAATTATGACGTCATTGTGATGTTACTAGAAGGTCACAATAATGTCATTGTTATTTATACTCTGTGATATTCAAGTTATGTCATAATAATACCGCAATGATGTGCTATTTTCATCACAGACGCAATGTTGCAATAACATCATTATAATATGAAATGATATGTTACAATCATATAACTTGTATATCACAAAATGGTTATATATGTAACAATGATCCCAAACAACATAATATCTAAAATAGGGACATAAGATGTCTTAAAGATAATCTTTAAGACGCCTTAAAAACATATATACGTAAATCGTCTGAAAGACATCTTAAAGATGATCTTTAAGACATCTTATGTCCCGATTTTAGACATTATGTTGTCTGGGATGTTAGAGGAATTTTGCTAGAATAATTAATATATAAAACAACGTTTAAATTAAATCACTTAATTTATAGTTAATATTTATTAATACAATAAATATAAGGATTTATTTATATGGAGTAAACGGCTACTATAATTATCAAGTTAATATTTTTATTAATACTAGATTTGAGGCTTTCACGGCCATTGATACAATGTCTAGGTATAGCTTTCGGAATGGAGCCGTGTCTTGAATCAGCGATATGACTATCGCTGATTCAAGACACGGCTCCATTCCGGAAGCTATACCTAGACATTTTTATTAATAATTATACTAACAATAACTTTTTGTATATACTGGTATAGATCACCCAGGCAGCAAACTGTCGTTATTTTTGCGTCAATATGTCGTCATTATTGGTCAGTAATTTGTCCTTTAAGTCATTTGTCCACGTCATTTGTCCTTTAAGGGGGCTTTTACATTCGCCGGCCGTAAAAATAGCCTATTTTTACTAATTTTTAAAAGAAAATCTATTATATATAGAAAGATGCGGTTTTTTTCATGGAATTGTTTAACATTTAAACTCCAAAAAAAATTTTTTTATTTATAAAAAGATGCGTTTTAATGCCTCCAAATGGCGATCGAATTAGCGGTCATCAGAAAAACACGCCTCCATGGTGGAAGTGATTCAGCTTCTGCAAATTATCTGAAATCAAAAAACCGATAATTTTTATTAATTATATGAGTGCCGCCATGTCTGATACTAG